AAAAAGGCCTATGTGTTATTTCAGACCATATTCTACCTGTGTTCCAAATTTCATCTTGATGTCTTCAGCCATTTTGACTTGAAAGAGTAACAAACTCATACACATACATCCTCATAAACTGCCGCAATTATAAAAATACTAGACGGCTTTTGAGCAAAAGAATTGAACTCCTGATGAGGCGCGTGAGGGGTAGTCCTAACAGTCTCCTGAGTATGGTGGCAGATTGATTGGATGCCGACTGTTCCATTATGATACACTGGACGAGGGTTACCTGTGAGCCTTCGGCAGGTGCCCTAAAATATTAAGTTGGTGTAGTGATTTATTCGGTTTTATATTTCACTAACATAGTTTGTAAGTCTCTTTTTTACTAACCCAAAATGGACCAACTAGTCTGAAATAAATGATTTATTATTTTATTAATATTATATTAGTAGGATTATAAAGTTTCATTGATTTTGTGTAACGTTGACCACATTTATTTGGGTAACTCTTTATCTTATCTTATACTCTTATACTATTATATAAAGCGGAAGAGTTTGTTTTTTGTTTGTTTGTTTGAACGCGCTAATCTCCGTAACTAAAAATCTGATTTTAATAATTATTTTTGTGTTGGATAGTGCATTTATCGAGGATGGCTATAGGCTATAACACATCACGCTACGACCAATAAGAGCTGAGCAGAGCGTGTGAAACCGCGCGGAAGTAGCTAGTATTTTATAAAATATGTCCTCAATTGTACTTATTATTGAAATAAACTGACAAAGACCATTGTTAAAAACCCAATACCTTTTGACTTATTCATTCAGCTCTTACTATAAAATACGTTCCTTAGATTTGGTTATTTGGTTTCAAAATTATTCTCATTTACATAGAGCTGGTAATATTTGAACCCTGACCTTAGAACTTTTGTAGAACAACAGAATCAGGGTCAAATAAACCTATTCTTGTTTCTTCGAATAACAATATAAATCCAAAGTGAAGTGGCTTAGAAATTACTCCATTGTTTGTACAACCTGACTTTGGTACTTGTAATATTAATATAATAAACATTCCAATTCTGTTTACACTTCAATAAATATTTTGAAGACAAAATATTATCAAGTAATGGTTGCGCTGTACACAATGTACTCTGTGACATTTTGGTAAGGTATCATAGTATCGAATATATAATAGAATAATTCTCAGAACTATTGATCGGAATATTCTAACTCTAAAAGTCTAACGCTGAAATACTCAACAGTACACTACATATTACTAGACACTATAAATTCTTTGTAAAATGACAGAAATGGCACTATACTTCAGTACGACTTAATTTGTTTTTTTTTTTAAAAAAAAAAACGTTGCCCCACCTTAGCATTTTCTCCTGTGTTGTGGATACGTTTACAAACATATATACAATATCACATACACATGGGCCTGCGGACGGAGAACCATACCTGAGCGTACGGTGCGTCGCGTTCCGCGCGCGCTTTAAAGAGCCATCAGACCACTGCCGAATAGGGCTGATGCTGATATGGAGCCGCAGTACTTAATGGGTTGCCGTGGCTCCAGCTCGAAGGGTAGGAGTAGGAACAGGGTGGTTTTTAGTCAGTAAGAGTCTGGCACTCCCTCCCACCTCACCCAGGCGGGAGAAGCCATTCGATGATTTTTGCCCCAAAAAATAATCACACATGATACCCAGACCAGTTGGGTAGCATTTGAGTATTCGGACGTAAATTAAATGTTTTTGGTTTCCTTTCTAGTTAACCAAAAAAAAAAACAAGAAGTTCATTGTATATCAGGAGAATATTTTCTTATTGTTTACCTACTACCAACAGTACATCACTATACTTAAGTAGCCTCCTTTAAGTGAAGAACACAATGTCAAATATTATATTCCAAACAATCTTGTAATTTTGTCTTAAATTTCTCGTTAATTGTATACGGTAGGCGGTCTTAAATGGATTAATTTTCGCACATGAACATAAATTGAAATCCTTAATTAGTCCTAGCATTAATGGGAGAAGTCGCAGGGGAATCTTGTTAATCACAGTTGCCTGGTGATTGTTCATCGATTCTCCCACCCCATCCCTTTGTAATTACCCCAAAATGTACCCCAACTTGTAACAGTCGTAATAATTTAACACCTTATTCAACTTTACTCCTTTTTCGTACTTTTTTTTCACAAACAAGTAAGCTTGTACTCTGTTGCAAAGTTAGAAGGAAGTATCGCTTGTATTTTTCCTCTTTATGTTCAGTACTGAAGTCCCTGTAAGGGAAGAATCGACTTTTAAAATTGTATTCCATTCAATTCGTAACAATTTGAACTGCATCCTAATTTCCTACTTAAATACGGTGCACAATCACAAACACTAGGTAAGGGAAACGTTGATGACAATACTAATTTTATTACATTCGCAACTTTTTTGACATAATTGACACCTTTTATCACCAAAGCGGTAGGCAGAGGTGCACGTTACGACACTTAATGCCACAGTGCAATGTAACACCCACTTTTCACTGTTTATGTTATGAGTGCCATGTATTAGGGGGTGAGCCTTTTGCCATATCGGGCACTGTGCTACTACGAAGGTTTTTTTAAAAAACCCAGTAAAAGGGCAAAGTATGTCTGACCTGGGAATCGAACCCGAGACACCTTGCCCAGCAGTCATATTTGCGACCGCTCGGCCAACGAGGTAGTTATTTTGAACCCGTACAAATTGTTTGTTTACATGACATGACACAACTTCACGCCTTTTATCGCCGAAGGGGTAGAAAATTGAGTTTATAATTCACAATATTGTTATTATGAACTTAAGTAGAATCATTGTTAAAGTTAATAAGTCTCCTTTCTATACAGACGTATACAGATATACCTGCGACACGGAAAGTCCACCACTATCTATAAGAAACTTGTTACACGATATTTCTTAAAGAAACTTCTTAATCAAGCTCAACAACCTGGACAATTAGTAGCTGAATTTCATATTCAACCCATGCATCGTTCGCCTACCATCATCATTAGGAACTTTATATCAAATAGCTCTCAAATTATATATTATGTACGATAGTACGGCAGCCCCTTTATGACATATTTAGTAAGCCCGACACGTTTCGGTTCACGTCGCGAAATAATGTAAGGTCACTCAATGATAGGGGTCTGTCACACAAATTTAGTGCAGTTGCGATTATGTTCGACGGTGTGAGTTGACCAATAATGTTCAGATGACGATATAATGTTTTATTTATTTAAATGGATTCATAAATGTTTGGTATAATTTCATGACATTTAAAAGTTATTTCGTTTTATTTTACTATGAAAACGATGTTAAACAGAAACATTTATTATATTGTCTAAATGCATTTTAAGATTACAATATTTTTAATTTATTTTTATTTTTTTAAACTTTGCCCCGGTCTAAGATTTTCTGTGACGTATGTGAGTTTACAAATATAAATTATACAAATTCACATGCACTTGACACCCAGACCCGGAACTACATTTTGTGGAACATACAAAGAGATGCTACGTGCGGGAATCACAGCTACGACACGTTGCGTGGCAGCCGGTTGCCCAGCCACCGGTTCTCAACTGTAATTCAAACACAAGAATTTTTTCGTGTACCGTAGGTAGGTATACTTACGTATACTGTATCAATGTTATAGGCAGCTAAGTGATACCATATAACACGAACACATAAAACCTTTATATACAAACTAAACTACCATACATCTCCCATAGGCCCTAATAACCATAATAAGTGATGGGCTAACCTACTTAAACCGCAGCGACCCTTTTAACCGAAACTTTTTGTAACTCACGCGATTCTACAAATACCCATTCGTAGTAAACATTTCGTTGAATCCCGAGAGATTTCACAATCAATATAAACTGTCGCAGCGACGTCACATAATCGTCTGTAAGACCTTAATCGGTATTAGGTCAGCGGGTTTCAAGAAGTTGTAAAACCGTTTTATGTATCATAAATACGGGTAGTTTAAGTGCCCCCCCAAGACTATACGGGTAATCGAAAACCTTGTAATAAACACGGTGTTCAGAACAACTTCTAAATAACTAATAGGTCTTGAATACAAAGATCGTGTTGTTCCCATTTTAATTGTTTAAGTTTCTTAGTAGTTTTAGTTCCTGGTTAGCGTGGGATGGTTTGACAAAATCAAAGTCAAAGCATTTATTTCAATTAAACTGTCAAACACCAAGCGGTCACCGGTGACCGCAACCTATTGTTCTTTAATTGTGTCTATAATGACGGTGCTCGACGAGTTAAACCATAATTTGGTACTTTTGAAACGTCAACCAATACAAAATAAATAGTCTGTCAGTCAGTTCGTCAGTGAAGCTAGGTGAAGATAGGTGCTCATTCCAAAATGTAGATTCAAATGGAGAAGAACGAGCAAGAAACTCCATTCGTTACTCTTTTTTTAAAAAAGTATGTTCTACAATATCTCTGATACATATTCCCATAATGTATGTATATGTGAGAACACAAACGGGTTTCATAGTTATGTTTATTTTTAATAGAATTAACTCTGAATATAAAGTCTGTGGAACTTATAATGCCTATTTTAATGTTAGATATATTTATCACTAACCATATAGAGATTTAATAGCTGCTTTTTTAAGAGACTGGAGTCGTTTTCTCGTTTGCATACATAATATCTTTCTGTAACAACATAACGATCTTTCTGTCAGTCCTGAATTTCTTTATTACACTCCATAATTATACTACTGACTTGTTAAACATGATCGAGACGCGCGGCCGCGCGTCAGCCAAGTTCAGCAAACAGCGCGCGCCACAGTGTATCTTTATACACATTACACAAAGTTGTTCATACTTAGAATAGATAAATACAGAATCTGTATTTATCTGTAGAAACCTAGAATATCTAAGATTTTGCATCAAACCAATAACATTTGACCTATATATCTTCTGATTCATATTGTTTTCTCATACAAATAGTATTCATTGTATTTATTTAAGACTGTACGTTTGTTACAGATCTGCATAGAAGCGGGCAATATCCTGTGTTGAAGGAAATGCGCTGACTCGCCAGTATGGCGGTCGGAGTCCTACTATTGGCGCTGCAACTGGCTGTTGTCAGCGCCGGGAAATGTACCACGTAAGTATAATATGAGTATTTTTTGTATATTTACTTAAGATTACAATATTTTTATTTATTAATATAGTAGTCAAATTATGTATGACTGCCTCGTTGGCCGAGTGGTCGCGAGTGCGACTGCGGGCAAGGGGTCTCGGGTTCGATTCCCGGCTCGGGCAAAGTATTACTGGGTTTTTGAAAAATTCTCAGTAGTAGCACGGAGTCTGGAAATGTGCCCGGTATATGGCAATAGGCTCACCCCCTATTACATAGTGAAAAGTGGGTGTTACTTCTGTGTGCACCTCTGCCTACCCCTTCGGGGATAAAAGGCGTGATGATGTTATGTTATGTTGTAGTCAAATTATATATTCAATAGCTAATAGAATTAAAGTTAACAATGGTTATTTGTTTAAAATGAAATCTCAATATTACTATTTAAGTAAAAAAGTAGTATCCAATAATTATGTTATGGAAATAAAAATGGTTAGTGCTAAAAAACAATATTTCAATAGCTGGTCGCCAAATGTAATTATACATCCTGTAATGCTAATTAACTTTTAAACGCAATTATTTATTATAAGTATAACACTTAAATCCTCATCATTGACACACTTAACAAGATAGTTTACGAAGCATTTTAAAATAAAAACAGTTTACTCAAAAAACGTACCTAAAGAATAAAGAGTAAGAAGCAAATTACTGAGCAAAGTCCTCTTTACACGGTGACTGCAATAAAGTAGAAAAAGAACTCACCCTGTACCAAGCTAAAAGAAAACCACACTTTACTACCTGAAACTTAAATAACGACCCTTAGTTTTAAACTGAACCTTTACAAACATATCACTTTCATTACGACATTCAAATTAAAAAAATAAACATAGAAAAAAGATTACTTGACCTTACGTGAAAGGAGAAGTTGTTGAATAAAAAAAAATCCCACCCTAAGGTTCCATTCGCACGAGACTTATTTTATAGCGCGTTAAAAAGAGTATAAATAGAACAAATCAGCTACATACTAGTGTGTGTGAGAGCCATGCATCGGCATGAATAGGCCGGCTCGACCGGAGTGATACCACGGCCTCACAGAAAACCGACGTGAAACAACGCTTGTGTTGTGTTTCTTCTGTGTGAGTGAGGTTACCGGTGGCCCAATTACCCCCGCCCCCCTCCTCAGTCTCCCCAATACCCAAATCCTCCACAATCCTCAAAAAAAATTTAATTCCCAAAAGGCCGGTAACGCACTTGTAACGCCTTGGTGTTTCAGATGTCCATGGGCGACGCCGATTGCTTACCATTAGGTGATCCGTCAACTCGTTTACCGGCTTATGCCATAAAAAAATACTAATTATAAAGCTGAACAGTTTGTTTATTGGTTTTAACATGCTAACCTCAGGATCTACTAGTTAAATAAAAACGGCTTGTCGAGGAAGACTATTAAGGGCTATAAAACATCACTTTAAATTGCATTGCGTATATACCAACGCTGTCAAACGTCCAGCGTTTTGAAAACGCGACGGTTTTATCGAACAGTGTTGTATTTTCAACGTTGGGCTTTGGGCATTAAAGTCTAAATTATATAGCATACGCGACGCTGTTAAAAAGAGTTCGTGCGATTGGGGCCTAAGTCTCCCTGGGTGGGGTTGTGGGGTAGGAGAAATGGGGAAACGGGGAAAGTGAAAACGTGTCAAGCGTCACATGAGGAGTAAATACTGCACCTGTTAAGTCAAGTGTTCAGGTAGTGGGACACCAGCATAATGGGGTAGTTTTTGTGTTTTTAATGACTCTTGCAAAGTTGCGGTTTAGATTTTTGTGTCAATTTTAGGCTCTGAATGTGGGCCGTGTTTTCTAATGTTAATGGTTATGCGCCTGTTTCTTTCTTAATGTTTTTGTTATAATTAGCTGTAGTATATTTTTGACTGCCTCGTTGGCCGAGTGGTCGCAAGTACGCCTGCCGGGCAAGGGTTTTCGGGTTCGATTCCCGGGTCGGGCAAAGTATTACTGGGTTTTTAAGAAATTCTTAGTTATAGTACGGAATCTGGTATTGTGCCCGGTATATGGCAATAGGCTCACCCCCAATTACATGGGATTCATAACATAAATAGTGAAAAGTGGGTGTAACATTGTAGATACAGTGGTCAAAGTCAAAGTCAAAGTCAAAGCATTTATTTTAATTAAACCATAGTTTGGTACTTTTGAAACGTCACGAAATACAAAATAAATAATAGTCTGTCAATCAGTCCGTCAGTGAAATTTACTAGCCTAATGTCCACCTCATAAAAGGCATGTTATTATGTTATATTTTTGAGATTATCTTAATTTCAATGTTTGATGTATTATTATAAGTTGTTTTCTTAAAAAACCTAATTAAAAGACTTTTGTTCGTAAGTGACCTTGAAGTTTAATAGAACCATTTTTATTTACGACTGTAATTCATCCAAGAATATAAGAACTTTTGTAAAATTGTGTACTAAATTTAAATAAAAGAAACAGGAACTATACCGAGTAACACGTGAGAGAGAAGAGGTGATCTTTTATGAACTTTGTTGGGGCTTAACTCTCAACAGTTAAAAATTTTATGAAGATGCTAAAAGTTATGTCAAATGTTATGTTGAATGAGTAGACAACCGATTGGTATAAACGTTTAATTGCTACTAAAAATAATACGTTAAAATGTTATAATTATTGCCTTTACTAAACTGCGACGTTTCATTGAAAGTGGGTCGATAAGGTAGCATTTACATTGTACAGCGTGCCGCGGAAAACTCAACGGGTTGCCGGGGCTCCTGCTCGAAGTGCAAGAGTAGGATAGGGGTGGTTTTTAGTCAGTAAGAGTCTGACAATCGCTCCCGCCTCACTCAGGCGGGAAAAGTCGTTCATTGATTATTTCCGCTTGAAAAAAATACACTGTACACTGTACAGCGTAGCTCGTACAAACATTTTCAATCTTTTGGAGAGCCTAAAATATTTGTCAAGTTCTAGATGTCGACATATATTCTGTTTAAGTGTGTTCTCCATTATTCATTACTCAAGCAACTTTATAAGTATCGAAATGAACATTATCTCCATATAATGTCTTTCCAATACCCAACGAGATGAAAGTTTTAAGATAACCATTTTTCAAAACGTCACGGATATATCTATAACAACTTGCAACAAAGAGATCCCCTCGGGGTAATTTTATTCTGTAAAGTCATCGAGCTAATGACTTTTTAACTTGGTCGCTTTGAGAACAGGTACTTTTAATGATCGTAAGAATGCATGAGCAGTCTTGAGAAAACAATAAAAGTGTGCTGATTTTTATTAAAGATGCTGTAGGCAGCATTAAACTGTCAAACACCAAGCGGTCACTGGTGACCGCAACCTATTGTTCTATAATTGTGTCTATAATGACGGTACTCGACGAGTTAAGAAGTTCTGAAGAAGATTGTCATTTAGAAGTTAGTTTGTAATATTGACAAATAAGAAACCGGGACTATTACTGATTCCGTGTCGTGGTGGTCTGGAGGTTGCATCCTTAACCATTGACCTTGTGACTTTTTCCAAATTATATGTACTTTCTAAGATTATTTAGACACCACTGACAAACGGTGAAGAAGAACGTCGTGTGGGAACCTGGGTTTATAATTATAAGTTCGAAATCGCCAACCCATATTGAGCAAGTGTGGTGATTAATGCTCAAACGTTGTCCTTGTGAGAATAGGCTTTTAGTCAGCAGTGGCTACTAATAGGCTGTTGATTATGGTGACGATTATGGATTCCAAATCACAGTTTAAACGGATCAGGTTTATCAAAGAGCGTGGTTGTTCAGTCATTGTCAAATTCACACAGTCTTGACTGCAAGGTTGGCGCGATGGTTGGGCAACTGGCAGACTGGCTGTTGTCTGGGTGTCATGAGTATATCTATACTAATATTATAGAGGTAAAGAGGAAAGATTTGTACCTATTTTTGTATGTTTGTAATGAATAGGCTCAAAAAGTACTAGGCCGATTAAAAAAAAATCTTTCACCAATAGAATGCTACATTCTTCCAATTTGACATAGACTATATTTCATTTTGAAAAAAAAAAAGATAATTGTCTACCCCGTGCGAAGCCGGGACGGGCTGCTAGTAAATTATATGTTTGTAAACGCAACCACGACACAGGAGAAAACCCTAGTGTGGGACATTTAACAAAAAAAGGTTAGCCTCCTAGTTTGTTCTTACAACACTTATGAAACAAGTAAGGGATGACAAAATTCTACTCCGCCTTAATCACACGACTTCAATATCATACGGTATCTATCTACAGGTACTACAGTAAATAAAATCCATGCTGCCACAACTCATTATCCCATTTAATTCCAGCATTGTTGGTTTTTGTGTAAATAAACCGAATGTTAGCATTATCCGGTCAACATTGTAACGCGTTTAATTAATTTAACCAGCGTTAACTTGTAACTGGTGTTTAATTAATCACAGCATTTTAATGAGAGCCGACATTTTATATTTGTTGGTTTTTGGTAGGTTGCAATGTGTATTGTATAGAGTACTCTGCCAAATATGAGAGGCTATAATTTCTTCTCTGCCATATACCTATGAATGAGTCTATAATTTGTTTTTATACTAACTATCGTGAGCTATACAAAATTAACTAAAAATTGCGGGTTACCCACGTGACAATACTGAGAAAAGCTCTACTAGGCAATGTCGCGCAGCCCACTCTGGTTAGACCGCGCGACATCGCCGCGACCGCGCACGCTGCTCATGAGGAAGAATTCTTCTGTGATTTGAAATGAAAAGAGCGAGTTCTTTTTTTAAATTCTCAGTTATAGCACGGAGTCTAAAATTATGCCCGGCATATGGCAATAGGCTCACCGCCTTTTAAAAACATGGGAGTCATAAAAAACATAGTGAAACCTAGTGAAAACTGAGTGTGACATTGCACATAAGTGCTGTAATGTGCACCTATGTCTACCCCTTCGGGGTAAAAGGCGTGATGTTATGTTATAAACTAAGTGAATGCAAAGTCTATCTCACGCAA